ATATATATATATATATATATATATATATATATATATATATATGGTATTTAGTAAAGAAGCAACGCGAAAGCATTACTCAAATTCAATAATTAACCAAATTGGATAAATTTACAAAAATAGGCCTTCTGGAATTAAGAATAGATGCATATTACAACATTTCCCCGCGGAATGAAAATAAAAAATCTCGCCATTTATGAAATGCAGAGAAAAATGACTACTAAATACCTGACGATAATGCAAAAAAATTCAGAGGGAAGTTTTGAATTAAAACGCATAAACTGTGTCAAGGATTCGTCTTACCGAATATAGGGAATTTTAAGGCCTTTATTATTTATAATAATAATTGTGATAATTTGTTCAAGAAATAAACCTACGAAAAACTATTAAAAACGGATAAGACTTAGTAGTGAACTTCTGGTTAATATCATTTCACCTAATATATGTTTGGAACATTCATTTTTTGGAAGAAAATGAATCTCAAAGCGATTATGCCTTAATGTCTTTTTTATTTTTTTATAATGAAAAGCAGCAATGTGATAGGCACAAAAAGAAAAAAATGATAAGATTTTCGCGCTATTTTAGAAATCTCTCGAAATACAGATATCAGATAAATTTCATATATGATTTCTTTTAAAAAATATAGTTTCATCTCTATCATTATCTTACCAGTATCAGAGAATTTCAATGGTTATGATGAATGACCCGAAAAGCCATTGTCCACTAGAATTTGACGTGCCAAATTACATATATGCCGAAACCGATCTGGTCCAAGATGGATACCTCCATACCAGCGTGTAATTATTACCAGTACGTTTTTGGCTTTCATTAATTCTAGCAAATTTAACAGTTTTGCCCCAGCACCAGTCTCACCATCATCCTGCAATTATATGGTTATTTAGGCGAAAAAATGAAACAAATAGTTCGGATTTCAAACGTTTTATAAAAATCTGCGTCACATCATACCTTATTAAAAAAGAAGGATTTTTTTTTTTACCGTTGCAGAACATACAATTACCCAACGATAAAAAACAAGACAATAATCTTACTTCGCAATCATGCTGTTTAATTAAGCGACCCTTCACATTTTCTTCAGTTAACCAAGCATACATATTATGAGTTGCTCGAGCTATTTTATTATTTTCTTTCAATTTATTCAGTACCATAACTACCTAAAAAATTTTAGAATAGAACTATCACAATAAGTATGGAAACTATGAAAGTTCAGGAAGTGATTTTAAAAAAGACCTACTTCTTTTTTAGAATAGACTTGTGCAACATGAGCCTGGAACGTACTCTTCCGGTCTACGAAGGAATCACCACTAATTATTTTTGGAAGAGGTAACTGTGATGTCGATGAAGCAGTTGGGCTAACAGATGCAGCTTCATCCTCTTTATTTAACTTTTCATCAAAATCACGATCATAATCAACCAAATAATTACTTAGATATGAAATCCATTCATATAAAATCGGCTGACCGATATTTTTAGCATATATTTCATTCAGTGAATTTATGATCTTCAATTTCTCTGCTTCTTTCAGTGATGGACCACTCAGCTCAAAATATGGCGGTGACCTGAAGCTATTGGATAAATTTAGTGATTCGATCTCAACTTCAAGTTCATTAATTCTCACAACTTGCAAAGTGGAAGAAGTAAAAAAACTATATCTGACTGAAAGAACGCGACATTAAATGACGAGAAAAAATTATTTCTCAAACTCTAAGAAAGTTTATGGACCAAAATGTTCTTTTAAATGAATAAATGTTTTATCATATAGCGATACTTTCACTAATAGAACTGTACACCAAATACTTCATGTATTGCAGAAATTGTTTACCTAGATGGATAACATTTGGGAAGACTGACGTTCAACTGCACATCCTCAGAAAACCGCAAACTTAATTGTGATGGCGATTCCATATAAATTAAATCACTGTATATAGCTTCAATGGACTGAATTTCTTCTAGTTGAGCTTTTCTATCTTGTTCAGCCATTCCAGACGTTTGGGAAGTTAGATTGTAATAATGACCTCATTTAAAATTTGTGACACAGTGAACTTTCCATCTGAAATGACAAAACAAAGTTTTTGGAAATATACTCTTCGAATTCACATCAAAAATAGAAAAACAAATAAAATTATAATTAAAACAGAAAAAAGTAATTGAATTACTTGCGATTCTGTGGTGGCGAATTGAACGAGATGGAATGTTTAATTGATAAAAATAAAAAAAAGTGGGAAAACTTAAAATAATATGAAACGTTAAGAAAGACAATGCATAAAAAGCTTCAATTCAACAAATAAAAATATAAATTTGCAAAATTAAATGCTAAATATTACCTAGTCATAGAATGTTTTAAAAAGACACATAATTATCAGAACTAACAATGCAACATCTCACTTCAGATATGAATGCTGATAATAACGAGGGGCGTTGTGCAAACAGCCTACTTACATATGTCTCACAAGAATAATGATGTTTCATCTATGCAACTGAGCAAGGGCGAAAAAAAGCAAACACAAAAGGCAGTAGAAACAGAGATTGAGAAAATAATGAAAGATCTATGGTAGAGTGTTGAAGATGAGAGTAAAAAGTGATATGGATTGTTGGAATTAAAGATGCAAAGAAAAATATCAAATGTAATTTGTAGGATTTTAATGAGTTAAGACTACTATAATTCGACTGCTACGTTGATGTATGACTGGGAAGTGTTCTGTCTTCAGCATTTTCTTCGTTCACAACAGCAATTTTTGTTTGTTACAAAATGTTGTGACGTTAAGAATGACGTGAATACGTTACAAAAAGATCGAAAATTCATCGCATATACAAAAAACGATTGAAGAAGTTGGTTGATATCGTCAAAAAACGTCTGATTAAACATTTTATGCAAATTTTTACTTAATTAAATACAGCATACATTTTGAATCATTTCAGTACATAATCAGATTGCATTTAATTTTACTTTTGGATTAATCTTTTTTTCAATCTGATGAATGCATATGTCTTCAAGATCTAATAAAAGTGTCCTTTGAACTTTTTATCAACTGTTTTAAAAAAATTTTACTTGTATATTTTTTGACTTATTAAGATATATGCTACAGTATTGAATAATCACGTATACCTATTATTAATTAATTTAGCACAAGTTAAAAAAACTTAATTTTATGATTTGTGTGTAAAATTTTTTTGATAAAAAAATTACTTCCTGTAACTTTCTATTTTGTTCTTAAAAGTTTGCAATATTTTAATACATATGTGTGATAGTAATCAAATCGTGACAAATAATCATTTAAGATTTCAGATAATTATTTAATGATTGGAATACAGAAAATAATGCAAGTAAAAATATATCATTTCTTCAGATTCATCTAACCGCAGAATCACTTAGACAACGAACAATAATGAGTAAAAACCTAAAGAAGATGGATTATTCCGGTTTATGCCAAGACTTTAGATCCTTCTTTTTAGTACTGAAAAATCTTGCAACCAAAAATTCTATTGGAAAAAAAAACTTTTTAAGACAAAGTTATTAGGATTTCATTATAAAGTAGTCTTTAAATAATATTTAACAAAATTTTTTCATCAAATCGTACGCGAATTTTTTGCGTATTTATTACTTTCTAAGTAATTACGCTAATTCGTCGGTTACTGAAGAATTACAAATCATTTATGCATATATGAACAAATAATTAATTAATAATTATGTACTAATTTCCACAATAGTTTATATATAAATTATGTTGAATCTTGCACATTGTCATACTTCTTCATCAAGTTCAATTTTTGTTTTTTGTGAATAAGGCCTGATAGCACTGTAGTAGTTGAGTAAAAACTTTTTCACTTCATCATGATCAAATTGATCTTGATTTTTACAACTACTACATAGAAAATGAGCTGGAAATTGTCGTTTAGGATATTTAGGATCCTCTGTATCTCGACCTCTGAGTCGCGCATTTACTATATTATGAGCTTGCCATAAGTACATGAATACATCTTCCGGACGATGAACCTAAATATTTGAAAATATTATATGAATTGAATCTTCTGAAATGCTTTCATATTTTTATGAGCTAATTTTCTGAGTAAAATACATTATCAAGAATATTATTGCATATTTTAGAAAGATATCTTACAAATTGCAAATGAAAAAGATATTTTCTTTTTTTGTAATTTGAATAACATTTTTGCAAGTACTCTTTACATTGCTTCAAACTTTCATTATTTAAAAAATTATAGAAATTATCATTAATCTGAAAGCTAGATGTTTACTTATAGTTAATATACTAATTTCGACGATAACTATTAATATTTTAATTTCTCTTAGATTACTATAAATTTTCTGCTTCAAATATCAATCAATCAATCTTCGTTACTTATTTATTTAAAATTATCAATTAATTATACAAAATCATCTTATTTTAAAGTGAGACAAAACTTTACATGGTTTTCCATGCGAAAAGTTAGAGTTGTCATCTGTAGGAAATGATCTCGACATCGATGGCAACCAAAAAACTTTTGAACCCAATTCCGAATCACCTTTAATGCTGCTTGTGGAAGAAATTTGGCATCTATAATTAGCTAATTCTTGTCATTAATTAATCAAATGTAACAGCAAAAATTTTTAAAACAAATGTTTTTGGGTCTATCTCTTTCTGATAAATAATTTTTTGTAATTAAGTAATTAAACTGTAAATTATATGATTATCAATAAATGATTAGTTTAGTACGATGAATTTTAATATATTTAATGTTTGACCATTTAAGCCATTTTTGTAAGCCTGAACAGTAAGAGCATGGAAAATACTCCATAAGCCACAAGTATATCCTCGAAATTGTGGATTTGAACCCGCACAATGTTCCCAATTTGCATGTATCGGAAATGGATTATTGTTTTGATCCTAAAATATCCTTTACGATATTCGTTTTAAAATTAAGGTGAAAAAGTAAACAGACTACATTTTTAAAAAAATTTGAATAACATTTTCAACACATTGTAACATATTAATAATTTTGTCACTAAGATTGAAGAATTGCTTAATTAAAGCAAATTCACTTGTCTATCTTCTTTTCTATACTCAGTGATCTAAAAAAAGAAATTGTTACAATTTACCTTCAAAAAATAAAGGTAATAATTAAATGTCATACTTTGCTTTTAATAATGCAAATATGACAATTTGAGCTAAACATCACTTACTTCTAACGCAGTAAATTTATTTTTGTAATCATTTGTAGAGATTATATTACTAATTCCAATCTCATCCAAATAGTTTCTCATTTCATTGAATATTTTCACTGCTCGTTCGCTATTTTTTAAGCTCTGCAAAGTTGTTAAAATTCTATTGTCTTTTTCATTATCAAAGATTACTGATGCTTATCTAGATAATAAACTTAAAAATAATAATAACAAATTAAGTTACTTAAATTTAAACTAAACAATGTTTTTGTTGCGAAAATAAAATACAAACTTTAACAATTCATATATTCTTAGAATTGAAACAAATCCGTTATGATCTAAATTTTTCGAGTATATTTTAAATAAAATTAATTTGACAGAGAGATGAATTGTACCACGTATTCATCAGTGTTATTATACACAACTGTTGTAGTTGGAAGATTCTGAAATATACTAATTAACAATTGCGCATCAGAATGTTTTGTCAAAAATTATCTTGCAATAATAATTGATATTAAAGTAGATTCTGAAAGTGAAAAGTTGACAATTTTATTAGTTTTCTGTAATGTTATAAAATATTTGCTAAAATTATAGTGCAATTTTAATTTTATAAATAAAAATCATTCAAATAAAATTATAATTATAAAATTTCAGTGATAAAACTATTCATAATATAATACAATATAATATAGATTAGTCAATTTATTCAAAATTTAATGCAGTTGAAAGGTATTCTCTTGTAATTAGTTGTTAGTTAGAAATCAATAATTTTAATAAATCTGAAAGATAATTACTTTTGCTAGTAAATCCAGGAAATCGCGGAGAGCAGTCAGATTACTACTAAAGAGTTCCTTCCCGCTTCTTGAAACTTCGTCTACTAAAGCATATCGTAAGGCTTTTAATATATCCGTTTCAGAAACGAAATACATTTTTCTACATCTAAAGATACTTTAATGTCATAAACTTTAAATTTTAATAAATCGAATTTAATAATAATTAACATAATTTTAATTAAGCGATCTATTCATTACGACCAAATTTTAATCAAATTACTAAGTAATTCATATATGAATATTTTAATCAAATCATACTATATTTGTTAGAATCCTTCTTACTCTGTAATATTTCGATCACAAATTGATTGGTTATAAATATTCTCTTCAATATGATTTTCACTGTCTTCAGCAAACATAAAACGCTTTAATTCAGTGAATAACAACTTTCTCAATCTACAAAATTTATTCTTAGAAAGCTTTCAAACAGCAAAAGCCATTTCTAGTTTTTAATTCTTTTTATTTTCTAAAAATACGTATTGTTTTTGAATGCTTTTAGAAAAGAAATCATCATTTTTTCAGCAAATTCATAATAAAAAATATTTTTTCTTTTACAACAAATTTATTACAAATGATAATTTAAATTTTTAAATTTTAAATTTTAATGGAAAAGCATAAAAAGTTTACTCGGCAACAAGTAATGGTGTCCGTTGTTCACGCTTAAATACGGCTAAAGTTGGAAAATTTCTGATATACAGCGCATCAACCAGTGAATGATTCTTAAGACATCGCCAAGCAGATAGTCGATCGTCGTACTTGGACATATCGAGTAATAACTAAAGTATTTTACTTTTTAATTCACGTATAAACTATGAGAACTGAATTTACTTTACTAAAGTTGAATGAATTCAAGCATTAAAATTAGAATTAAAACAATTAGCTAATGATTTATGTAAGTAAAAAAAGAATTAGTTAATTATAAGTAAAGAGAATTTGAAAGTATTTCATGCTTTCAATTCCAATTAAAAATCAGAACTATTTGGGGCACTGATAAGCTTTTGCTAAAAAAATTAAAAAATGAAAATCAATTTCACGTACTAGGAGTGAAAAAATACTGTGACTTATTTTTTTAGATACTTTGTATTGTTGGGTACTGTTTTTCAATTCTGAACTAAATTTGTAATCAAGTATTTAAGTTTTTGATTAATTTACCTGATAAGTACAAATCAGGTATAATCAAGTTCAGTACAATGTTTTAAGATTTTTTCATACTGCTGGAAACTTGATCTTAAATCGGAATTCACTAGCAGGCAGATTAGTACTTGAATGTTTAGTCTTATATTTGAAATTTAAGCCAGGAATTTATAATTTTTTTACTAGTTCGAAGTAATTCTTTGACTGTCATCATTTTTACCAAATTTATCTTCATTAAATAACGACTGGCAAATTTAGTCTCATATTTCAGTAATGCTTGGAGCTTCTGAAGTTCAATTTTATATTCTGAATATATTTAAACAAGGTAAAGTTAAGTTAATAGATATTCAAATTAATTTTTGATTTTTTGATAATTATTGTTTGAAATGTTTGAAATAAATACGATATAACGTCAATAAATAATTATTCACATTAATAATGTATTATTTTTAAAAAAAATCAAAAATTAATAATACATTATTAACGTGAATAATTATTTATTGACGTTATTAATTATTAACGTAAATCGCTTTCTATTAAAATCACTTAGTTTTTAAGTTTGAACTCAAATATATTATAAAAATATAATTAACCTCAGCGCCGATGAGTGATTCTCTATTTTCTTCAAAAACAATGACTAATAAAGGAGACGAACTTTCCGTAGCTTTCCAAAGTTCACTGTACGTAAGAATGCTGGAAGTAGTTCGCAAATAATTACTATAATATATTGAAAGAAAATAAATTGAAAAAAAGACTAACAATATTACAGAAATTCATAGCATAAAAATAAGCAAAAAATCTTGCCTGAAAATAAAATGGAATTAAACTATTGCTTACTTTCCTAAAAAGTTAAAATTAGGCCAATTCGAGTAATGATTCATTCTGTAATCATACAAAATTGATTTAATAATTTGATCACGCATTTCAGCGATTGATGGTAACGGCCTTAAAAGTATTCCAGAACGTGGATCTGTTGAATTTCGTGGAAAATACTGTAAATTTTTACTAATATTGCAGTCAAGATCAGTTCCTTCCAATAGATAACCACATAACAAATATTAAAAAACGTGTAACAAATGTATAATGATAAATATGATAAAAATTATAACAATTCTGCCTAATAATATAACAATATTGATATCTATCGCAACTATATTAGTGATAATGAAAGTAATAAATACAAATTTTTTTCTTATTGTAACTTTATACCTCACTTTTCATAGAAGTATAATTGATCATGCTTTTTCAATTTAATCTGCTTAAAATATAATCAAGACAAAACCTTTATTAGTGGGAAAAATAAAACTTCATTAGCACGGCAGGTAACTTCATTAAGTGGATCTGCGCAGTTTATAGCGGCAACCTGAACAACTGAATCCCACCCTTGAATATCCTGAGCTAATGATTTATAAGTTTCAGCATATGCGCGACAATGGCCACACCAATCAGAGTAGAACTGAAATTATTAATTTTGTTGATTTTCATTGTTTAAAGCAAATTTAAATTCATCTCAATGCCATAAAAAATCTAAGTAAGATCAAAAGATAGTGATATTCTTCATAATGTGATCTCATTTATCCAATTTCTTTTCAAAAAATTGGCTTGTTCAAGTTTTCCAAAAATTAATACGTGTAGTAAATTAATTTTCAATTAAAGAATGTTCCAGTTTCTCGTCGTTTTTTTTCAAATATAATTATAGAAATGCCAATAATAGCTTTTGAATACATAAAATTTCAATATGTAATTGCAGAAACGTTCCTCTCTATCATACGAAAGTCAAAGTGTAGAGTTTTTATGCTAATTTAAGAATATGAATGCTAAATATCAATTTTTTTTGGCGCTTAACTGGTATATATTTTTGTAAAATTATGCATTTTGCAATTGTAGTTACAGTTTAACCTCTGAAAGCTAATTATTTTAATTATTAAGCTATTATTAAAACCACAATTACATTAATCTTATTACTAAATGAATAAAAAATAATTGTTAAGTAAAAGGAAGAATATATTTTAAGGCAGAATAAACTAAGCATAAGGCAGAATAAATATAAAACAATGTACTCATTTATTAAACCACTAATAAACTGAAAAAATTACGACCGTTAAAAAAAGTTAAACAAATATTGAAAAAACATTCTTAGGATATTTCGTACTACTTTGCAGCCAATTTTATCACTGAATTTATAAATATTAAGTAGAGAAATATCAAAAATGGTGTTCGAGATTAATAAATTATTAAAAATAAGAGTAATAAGTAATTAATTTTGCAAACATACAAATGCCGATTAAATTATTCTTTTGTCACTAGAAAAATCCTCTGAAATAATAACAATTAATCAAAAATTGACCATTTTCAAAAAATTTTCATAAAATATTTTTTTATATTTAAGCCTATTTTTAAATTTGGCTTTTACTAAATAGCAGAAGACAAATTTAAAATTTGTTAAGCTTTACTTTTATTTAAAAAAATTTGGCGCAAAATTTACTTCAACAACAAAAGCAGTACAAGAGGCATTAGATGAAGGATATCTACAGAAGACAGTGTCGTTGAATGTCATTTCGTCTAGTTGAATGATCATATCAACTTTTGAATCGTATAATGTTGGATTTATTGCCATCGGTTGCCGACGCATAATTGCCACCTCGCAAGAAGTTAATCTTCCAAATACAGTTAAAAGTATAAGTAAGTAAATCATTCTGGAATAAGTCAAATTCAATAAATAATTTACGAATGTATAAAATTTATTTAATAATAAATTTTTTTGTGAACTGAAATTTGAAAATTTTAAGTCAGGTTACGTCACTTAATCAATAAATATATCTGAATAACTAGCATTACAGTATGATATTTTATGCAAGAAATGAGAATCAGCCATAACTTAAAGGTTGAAATAGCGCTGATTCAGTACAAAGTAAAACAAATATTACTTTGTTTAAATTTTTCATTTAATTTCATGCTGTTGTAATGTCATAAAAATATTTGTAACAAAGAAGACGAAGTATTTCAAGGAAGCAACAACTCACAATGCCATTATTCAACGATTATTAGTACTGTTAAAACCTGCGCTTGCTAAATGCTGTTTTTATTTCATAACATCACGTACGTCACTTACTGGTAAAAATAAAAGTTTCTTGAATTCTTTTTTAGCAAAAATATTGCTTTAAAAAAAACGTGTTTCATACACGCAAAGCAGTTCGGTGTAAGCCCGAAAATTCAGCTAGAACAAATATTAAAAATGAGATATTCTGCTATTTTTTAATTATAAGTTGTTTATTCAAGAGCAATAATTATGTGAGTACAAACTTTACAATTTATAATATCACATACATCCTATATATATTCCAAGCACGTGAAAGTCAGTAGTTAACGTACTTATTAATAATGGAATGAAGAATGTTTCATATAAATACGTATGAATATTATAAACATGAAGGCATCTGCACATTTACTTCAAAATACAAAAATGCGTCTAAACGTGTACTTACGTATAATGGTACGTACTTCATGTAAATCTATTTCCAGCCAAATATACATTTGCACTGAAGCAATTGTACTAAGTGTTTTAGGCGCTTTCAAAATTAAACGTTGTGGGAAGTGAAGAAAGTGCAATCACTAAGACTAATTGACTTGAAACTTTTCCAGTAAAAAAAAAGTTTCTGTTTTTAACTTTGCAATACACAACAAAAATGTTTCAGTTTACCGAGCAAAAATTATAAACTTTTTATAATTGTAAGTATAAAATACTTAAATTTGCTTCCTGCAATTTATTGAACTTTACGATTAATTGAATTAAAATTAATTTTGTTTTAATTCAATTAATTCCTTGGAAGTATTATTCTTCACTGCCAAAAGAATGTTAGCAAAACTATTTTGAATAATTACAGTAATTAATTAAATGCTTGTGATGGTAAATAAATGTGACAGAAAGGTAAGAGTTTACTAATATTTGAAATTTAAATTTACTATTATTTAAGCTTTTATTGTATAAACTATTTTTTGTCTTTTAAAAAATTGCCATTAATGGTATTATTACTTTACTGGTAAAAATAAAAGTTTCTTATAGCTTTTTCTGGTAATAATTTATTGATAAATTATAGCTTTTTCTGGTTCCAAATTCGAAATCAAGAAATTATTAATATTTTAATTAAAAAATTCCATACAAATTAAAAAATGAAACTTAAATTTTGTTTACTTTCCGTAGCACTAAATTTAAATTTATTTATTTTTGTTAAATTTATAAACTTTTGTTAGAATATTTTGATTAAATTTGAATTTATTTACTTAAATTTATATACTTTTGTTAACTTTGGTCCAATAAATATATGTGAGAAAATAGCGAGTAAAAACAAAAAACTTTTGACTAATTATAAATTAAGTCCAGCAAAATATCAAAAAGTAATCATTAAAAAATTCAATTTACAGTCTTTATAATACTTTACAAAAGTCAGACATTTTTGTTTAATACTTTTGTAATATTTACTTCAAAAATTTTCACTATTAGTACTGACAAGTAAAGGTAAAAAGTAATATTATTGTAAAGAGTAAAATACTCATTTATTCTCTTTTTATACTATAATAATAAGTACTGTAAAAAAATAGACTCACACTTATTTGTTAAAAAACAAACAAACGAAAATACCAGTTACTAAAATTCATCAAAATACTAAACCAAATACCGAAATTCACCAAAAATAAAAATCAACAACTTTGTCAAAATTCAAATAATTGATATGATTAGTAATCAGAAAGTAATACTTAGATAACTGATCTCAAGTAAGACCCAATATCCACGTATTTAATCTTCTCATTACAGCAAAAAAAACGCTAAAAATAGATTTGAAAAATATATATTGATGAGTAAATCTACTCATTATGAGTCAAAAATTCAAAAATTACAATAAATTTTTAAAGTATTAAATATGCAAATCCCGAAAATTACTCTTCATTTCGATATAGTGTACTGCCTGAAAATATGCAAATTATATACCAAAATAAACACGACTTATTATGAATTATATTTTTTGAAGTATTTGAATATATTAACTAATAAAAATTGTGATCCAAATTTAGATTGAGAAAGAGTAATAATAATAAAACTTTCGAAAAGTACTTAATAAATACAGAATGTTTACAACTGCACAAACAGTTATCTCGGATAATAATGTATTTCTTATGTAAATAATGAGAAATTATTATAAGCAGATGTGAATATGCAAGATAAGTAAAGAGTAATGTGATATCATTACAAATATACATATTGTATTAAAATTATCGATTGAAAGTATACAAAAATAATATTAAACTGAATAATTTAAATAGTAATTTTTATTTAAAATATTTTTACAGCCATTTGTCATCGCCAAAATTAATGCGACCAAAAATTTATCGAGTAAACACTTGAAATTTCTGGCATATTTTCAGTAAATTGAAGTAATTCTGCAAAAATTTGTCAAAAATATTACAACAAGAAATGAGAAAAAACGATAAAATATTTGTTATGCTAAATAAAATATTTTAAAAAAAGTAATCATCAATTTTAATTAGTTGTTATTACGAGCAATTCACGTGAAAAAATCAGTCCTGAATTGTTTCCAGGCTATTTTCATTGATAAATAATTCAAAATCATACAGATCTTTCTTTCAGGAATGTTACGCTATCAGTTTGATTATTTGAATATAATACATTGTAAAAACTAAGGTTCATATTTAGATTGGGATTGAAGAGTATTAGTATTAAAATTTAATGATCACATTTAATCGCTGAGCTGATTTTTATAGCAAAATAGACCTCTTTGTTGATTAACTTTTAATTCGAAAAGTTTAATTAATCTAAGAGAGTTATATTAATTTAGGTGCAACAAAAATGTTGAATTTCCTTAAAAATATTATTAAAAAATGCAATAGAAAGCACTGGTTTGTCAAAAACTGAAACTAAAACTGAGAAAACTTATTATTTTGAAAATTGTACAAACCCTCAAAATTTGTATATAATTCGAAAAAATTTCATACATCCATTATACATATCCGTAAACTTTGAACTCTTTTAACTCTTTTTCATGATCTTTTGACTTCGTCATATTAATTTTATTACCTTTTCAGCAGGTTGACCTTTCCCTTCTTCATTTTTGAGCTCTTTTACACTAGGTTTGTCATTCCTGGCTTTCAGTCTTGTCTATGTTGATGCTTGACATGAGAGCCTTTAAATTTGACCTTATTTAAATTTGACCTGTTTTCACTTTTTTACTCGTCGTTATAAGCAGTCACTCAGAGTACTTTAACAATTTAAATTTGACCTTTTCAATGATTTTATACGCAGAAAAGATCAAAATAAGCTTGCGCAATATTTGACCTAGAGGATGGAGTGATTGTAAATATTTTCAACCTTTCGTTACTTGGGAAAATATGAATCTCAATTCAGGTCAGTATTAACTTAAGACTGATAAACACAAGGTCAAATGATGACAAAATTCATCTGATTTCTACTTTATTGCTATGATTATTACAACATTTGCAATCACCAAAATGTTCAATACAATTTAAAAGAACGTTTTTCGATTGCAAAAAGATTAGTTCGTGCCTAAATAATAAAAATTTGTTTAAAAAATTAGTGGCGATAATTTTTACAAGTTCACTGCAAGAACAAAGAACTGGATATCAGAAATGAATTACTCAGAAAATTCTGTCAATACTTGATAACAACTACTTTTTACCATTTTCACTAATTGAAAATGAAATAAATTGTTCTAAATTTTGAAATGGATTACTTATATAGAATGTTAATTACTTCTGCCAATTATTTCAAGCCATTTAATGACGAGTTTATAACATATGACTGATTAATTAGAGAGATTGAACTTTTGTAATCAAACTATAAAAGAAAAAGAGCTCTCAATGATAATTAAATATCGATAATTGGAATTGCATTCGATATTTTTTATTACAACAATAATAAGCATAACTAAAAATAATGATGGACAATAATAGTGATAATTTTAGTACAAAGAAAGTGATACTAACAATTTTAATAATCACAGGTGCTATTAATACTCACAATAATTAAAAGAATTTGTTTTTATAGTTTTAAAAGAATTTCACAAAATTAAAAAATATTTTGTAAAATTTCAAATTTCAAAATTTTTTGCTAATTTATTTATAGAAAATGCAATTACAAAAAAGTAAATTCTTCAGTAATAGCAAATATTTAAATACAATTATCGGACTTAAATTCAATTACTGATTATAAGTAAGGAATTGCAGTAATGATCAATTAATACAGTACTGATTGTGTTGTACGTAACTGCAAAGAGAAATTATATCCTTCAATTTAAAATTTTTTTTGAGATATAATTAAAAATTATTATTCTCCTTCCATAACACCCAAAGATGGACTATTTTCAATTAAAACTTTTTCATCTTTCACGCAAAATAATTTAAATTCAGTTCCATCCCATCACATCAGTATTATTATTTATAATAATAACAATTATTACTAATACTTATTATTGTTATGATTATAATAGTAATCATTGTCATCATTATACCTATTATTGTCAACTATTCATTATCACTATTATTACATTTATAATTATGATATCATTATTGTTGTTATACTTTTTTATTATTTCTTGTTAAATTTTTTTACTGCAGCAAAAGGTTTGAAATTCACGCAACAAATGCCTTACGTTTAATTTTGAA